TGTTAAAGCTGTAGTGAAATGCTTCTTCTAATCATGTGGTTATTAAAAATTAAAAAATAATGATAAAGTATTGGCTTTTATTTTTTAGCTTGGGAAGTTTTTCCTCTTATTATCTTTTTATTTCTTTTTTTTAGGGAACCAAAGTTCTACAGATGTTTATGTGGTACTTGAACCCACGACAAGTCTTTGATCTTTCTCAGGAAGGACCAAAGGATGAAATGCTTCTTCTAATCATGTGGTTATTAAAAATTAAAAAATAATGATAAAGTATTGGCTTTTATTTTTTAGCTTGGGAAGTTTTTCCTCTTATTATCTTTTTATTTCTTTTTTTTAGGGAACCAAAGTTCTACAGATGTTTATGTGGTACTTGAACCCACGACAAGTCTTTGATCTTTCTCAGGAAGGACCAAAGGATGCGTAAGTCTGGAAGCACTCTCTCCTTATGAATTTTAGGCAAGTGAGGACTGTAGGATTTGAGGCCAAGGTCATTATCTGATTATCTGCTAGAGCATTTTCTGCTCATCTCAGATTAACTATCCCACCCGCATGCCTCTCCTGAAGCCATGTTTGATATTCAGTCCTACCTGTCACTGGGTTTGTCTCCATCAAACCACTATCTTCTCAATTGTTTGGGCAGTGCATGCTTTTAGTGGACTTGCTGCTTGTATATATAGAACTGAAGCCTATTTGCAGAAAGCCTGGGAATTAAGAAAGGACTTACTGCTTTTCTACTTTTGCAACTTTGGAGAGGCACATTAACAGGAATATGTCTATCACGGAGGCATATGTATTTATTAAAATAGATATTGGATTTGGAGAAATTATATGTGTATGTATGCCTAGTGATGTGGTAGGGGGGAGAGAGATTGATTTTACCTTTGGATACTATAATTCCATGAGAAAAACACTTAATTTCTGTTCCATCCATATTCTGGATTTCCCAGGAATCTCATTCTCTGTTTTTGTCAGAGTGCTGAAAATTAAATCTAGATGTAGGTGACCTGACATAGTGGGAAAGAACAGGGAAGTTTGTGTGTGTGCTGTGCTGTTTGATTCCCTGTCCTACATCAGCTACTAAGAAGGAGACACATAAGGACTACTGGGTTTTCTTTGGTTCCGCGGGTACTGGTGAAGATTACATGTTTCCCCAGTGAGAAGTACTCCAACTCATTTCCCTGTTTCCTCTCTGCTGTAGGAAGTGCTGTGCTCTTTTTTTTTAACCTTTCCTTATTTCCTCTCCAGGCTTGAGTTGTACAGGAAGGTACCAAACCTGCGAATTCTGGCCTGCGGCGGGGATGGAACGGTAGGTCCTTGAAGGAGTATTTGGTTCTTATTTATTCTCTTTTTCTATCTGTTTTGTGTGTCAGTTTTCTTTCTTCATTCCATATTTCCAGTCCCGTCATATGAATGCTGCTCTGCTGAGAACCAGGGCCCTAGGTGGGGAAACACTTTGCTACCCTTATGGGTACACACTTGGCCTTCTAGAGTTCTCTTCCCCCCTCAACTGCAGTGTATTATTTTCTGTTAGAGTAGCAGTATGTCATCATTGAGATAAAGATTTTCATAAATGGCCAAATTTTTTTTTACAAATACGACCTAACATGTCTCCGTTTGTTCTTTTCTAATAGTTATCAATTAAAAGTGCTTTTTAAATATTTATTTATTATTTTATTTTTATGTGTATGCGTGTTTTGCCTGCTTGTATGTAAGTACACTCATGTCGTGCAATGCCCACAGAGGTCAGAAGAGGGCGTCAGATTCCCCTGGAACTGGAGTTACAGAAGGTTGTTATCAGTTAGCCATCATGTGGGTTCTGGAAACCAATGCTCTTAACTGCTGAGCCATCTCTCCAGCTCTTGAAATTATTTTAAACTGACATGAAAATGTACACATACTACCTATTAATGGGGGAACGAAGTGATATTTCTGTACAGGTATATATTATATAAAGTTCAAATCAGGTTAAACCTATCTACCTCCTCACACATTTGGTATTGTCTATGATGAAACCATTCAGAATCCCATCCTTTACTTATCTGGATTGTACAGTATTTTATTGTTATCCATGCCCGTCCTCCTATGCAGGAGAACACCAGAACTGATCCTAGTTCCTTCTGGTCAACTTATCTCCATCTCCCTGACCTGTCTACTCTTCCTACTATCATCAGTAATCAGTAATTCAGTGCTGCTGTCACACTCTGATGTCAACTGTTTGTAGTTCCACATGTGACTGAGATCAGTTGATACTTGTTTTGTGTGTGTGTGCCTGGCTTCACAGACCTAATATAATGATCTTCAGTTCCATCCTGACCCAGATGACAAGATCTTATCCTTTCTTAATGGCAGAATAATGCTGTGTCATGTGTGTTTATCATAGTTCCTTTGTCCATTCAGCAGTTGATGAAGACTTAGGTCTGTTTCCGTCTTGTGGCTGTTGGGGATACTGCAGTGCCTCTGGGTGCAGGTGTTTTGACATACTAATTCCATTTATCTTGAATGTAATGAGAGTACTAGATTGTGTAGTTTTGATCCCTTTTGATGAGTGGACATGTTCTTTTCCATAATGGCTGTGCTGAGTGCATTCCTGCCTTTTTTTAATTCCACATCCTCCCTAGACCTTCCTATTGGTCGTTTTAACAAAAGCTGTTCTTGCTGGAGTGAAGTATTGCTTCCCTGTGCTTTGATTGCATTTCATGATTATATTGTAGATCTTGTTTCTTTCATGAATCTGTTGTCCATTTGCATGTCTTCGTTTAGCAATGCCCAGTTCTGTCACCCCCTTTTAATTTTTTTTTTTTTTTTTGCTGTTGAGCTTTTTTGAATTCCTTATCCAGCCAGATGTATAGTTTGAACATTTTCTCCCTGCTCTTTGGTTGCTTCTGCTTCATTTGGTTGGTTGTTTACTTTGTAGAAGCTTTTGAGTTCAATGTTTTCTCATTTGTCTATTCTTGCTTTTGCTTCCTCTACTTTTGAAATTTTGTCCAGAAATATCCTTGCCCATTCCAATGTCCTGAAGTGTTTTCTTCTGTTTTATTCTAGTACTTTTGTAGTTTTAGGTCATATGTCAAATATATCTGTTCCATTTTGTGCGCCTTTTTGTGGTCCCCTACAAATCTTAGCAACATTTTTTCTAGTTCTTTGAATAGTGTCTCTGATAGTATGATACAGATTGCGTTGCATGTGAAGATTGCTCTGGGTAATATGAACAGTCTAAGAGTATTGGCTCTCCCAGTCCATCAACAAGGGACTAATTTAGAGGAACAGGCTGATCTTAATTCACTAAATGTTTGGTGGGACTCAGCAATGCAATTCTCTGGTCCTAGGTATTTCTTTCCATATTTTTTTGGTCTTTTTGATGATATTTTATTTATTATTTTTATTTTATCTGCATGTATGTAAATGCACCAGTGTTATGCAATGACCGTAGAGGTCAGAAGAGGGCGTTGGGTCCCCTGAAACTGGAGTTATGGATGGTTGTTAGCTGCCATGTAGTGCTGGGAACTGAACCTAGGTCCTCTGTAAGAGCAGCCAGTGCTCTTAACCACTGAGCCATCTCTCCAGCCCTGATTCTCTCCATTTTTTGGTGTTGTCTTCATTTATATTCATTGGTGTTTGATAGTTTTCACAGTAGAAAACTGGCACCTCTTTATTTTTTACCTATAAATGTTATGGCTTTCTTGATTTCAGTTTCAGATATTTTGATTTTGAATCCTGAATTATTTCTAAATCCATTTATTGGCTCTCATATTTTTTATGTGGAGTCTTTGGGATTGTCTATGCATAATACAGTGTCATCTGTATACAATGACAATTTGGCTTTGCCATTTCGATGCAGTTTATCTCGTTTCCTTGCTGTATTGCTGTAGCTGGGTCTCCCAGGTCCATATTAAATGGCAGTGGAGAACCTGGCCCTCCTTGTCCTCTTCCAGATTGTACAGAGAAAACTTTCAAATTTTCCCCATTCAGTGTAATTCTAGCTTTTGGATTATTATAAATGGTCTGTATTATGCTTATAAAATTCCTTCTATACTTTATTTGTTCAGTGTCCTTATAGAGAAGGACACTGCATTTTATCCTTGCCTTTCATACGCAGATAGAGATGATCACGTGACTGATTCTGTTGATGTGATGCGATGTACATTTATTGATTTCTGAATGGTGGAATATTCTTGTAACCCTTAGATGAATTCTGCTTGATTATGGTGCAGCATCTTTTAAATGCGCTGTTAGATTCAGTTTGCTGGTGTTTTTCTGAGGAGTTTTACATCTACGCTCATCAAAGATATTGGTATATAGGATTTTGTTGGTTCATTATCTGTTGTTGTTGTTGTTGTTGTTGTTGTATCCTTCTGTGGCTTGGTTACCAGGATGAATGTAGAATGTCTTCAGAAGTATTTTCTCCTCTCCAACTTTCTGGAGCAATTTAGAAGAATTTGTTATTCCTGCTTCTCTAAATGTTTGGTGGAACTCAGCCATGAAGTTTTCTCATCCTGGGCATTTCTTTAATGGAAGTATTCTGTTACTGATTTGATCTGATTACTCCTTAATTCAGAATTTTTGTGCCCTCATGATTCAGTCTTGGAAGGAGGTATGTGTCCAGGAATTTGTCTACTTCCTCAAGTTACCAAATTATCTGAAGTCTATTTGTTCATAATAATATTTAATGACGCTTTGTATTTTTACACCATGAAATGAAGTGAGGATCTTGAAAGGAACATAAAAATCTTGTCTTCCTTGGGTTTTAGCTATCCTAGTCTTGTTATTTTATTTATATTAGTGGGGGCAGGGCTCAGGCCACAGCATGTGTGGAGGTCAGAGGTCAATTTTGTGGAGTCAGTTCTCTCCTCCATCTTTAGGTGAGTTTATGGGATTCAAACTCAGGTCGCCCAACCTGCATAGCATTTGTGGGGTGTCTCCCAGGATCAGCCCATCCTGCTCTTGACTGCTTGTCTTGTGTTTTTAATTTTGTTGAGTAAATTTTCAGTTAAAGAGTTTGTCATTGAATTTTTTTTTCTAAACTTTCTTTCACGATCCGATGAGATGGCTCAGCTGGTAAAGGTGATTGCAGCCAAGTCTGCTTACCCATGTTTGATCCCAGTATCCACATGGCAGAAGGAAAAAACTGTCTCCTAAAAGTTGTCCTGACTTCCACATGTGTATCATGACACATGAGTGTGCCCCCCCTCCTTCTCTCCTTCTCTCCTTCTCTCTCCCTCTGTCCCTCTCTCCCCCCAATATTACTATATTATTTCATCCCTACTAAGTTTCTCTCAGTGCATTCTATTGCTTTACTGCCTTTTCTTGAGTTTCTCTGAAACAGATGTTTTAAAATTCCTGTTCTAAAAGTCTGACCATATTGGTTACTATCTGGTTAGTTTCTAGTGGTATTTAGACAATGAGTGGCACTGTCACTTCCTGACAGCTCTTGATGTTAGTGTGTGACTTCATCTTGCCACTGAAGGCTTAGGAATGTATTCCAATTTTTGTAATCTGGCTTTGCTTCTGCCTTTCTTTACAGAAATTCTAAAAAGATTGTGCCCCTCCTCTCTGAGCTTTCTTGGTTTTGCTATTTCAGCATTGGATGGTTCATTCCCTCATTCACTACCGGTGTATTTTCACACTTTTACCACTAGAGGGCAATCTAAGCCCAAGTTTATCCCAAATCCACAAAGGCTGTGTTGACAGCCTAAACCGGATCACTACCTGGTAGACCATCCCAAGCCTCCCTCTGTAGTTCAGGTACATCCAAACACCTTGTCCGCAGCAACTGGCCCATGCTGATGGAGAGAGACCAGTCTCGGTCTCCTATACCATGGTCACTATATCTGTGCCGTGCTCCTGCACCATACTCACTAATGCTATAAAGTTGTTTCATATTGTGAGCCCACAGCTTTCCCATACAGCTCTCGGATAGTACCACGGCCCGTGCTGCTATGGGCTAGCGGCTGCGAATGGCTAAAGTGAAATTATGACCCAAGACACCGGGAACCAACTCAGCGTGATATTGGCACAAGCAGAAGCCTACCAGTCCGGAGTCACATGTCTCTCTTAGCACCAAGACTGGTCCAGAATCTCTGCTGCCAGCTCTGGTCTCGGGGTGGAAGCTGTTACCATTTTCTCAGTGTTGTTCCTGGCACTGAGTTCCAAGGGAGAGCGCTGGGCTAACTAACTTATCCCATCATTGGCAAATGATTTCTTAATTCTACACTAGGCTGCACGAGGTTGGAGCCTTATCGCTGAAGGCAGTTTCTTGACTGTCAAGCTGTTCGGCTGGGTTGTCCTGAAACCCCCCATCTAAGAGGA